ACAAATTCCGTCACTAATTTATTTTGTGACGGATTTTAATATATTTAGTGACGAATTTTGTTTCCTCTTTAATTTTAATTTTTCTAGTAGTGTTAATGTGAGTTGTGTACGTAACACCCCCTACCCTCAAGCTCATTTATAATCACACATGTGATGGAAACTAAATAAAAGGACATCATTTTAAAAACTTTTCTGTAAATAATTGAATATATCACATCAGAAAACTAATAGAACAAGTCCAATCTTTTACAAAATTAAGCATAAATGTAGTTAAAAAAAATGACACCCAAAAGGTCACATAAAAGTATACAAATCAAAACTACTATGATTTAAAGAAATAAAAACCTATGCCTAATATCACTATCCTATCATCACAAGATCACCCAAAGCATCAAAATAAAATCGAGGCTTATGCCTCTCCTCGAGCATTGTAACACCCAATTTTTTATTATTATTTTAATGGCATTTTCGTAATTTTAATAAAGTTATAGGGGTATTTTGGGTTCCGGAACGGGCCGTTCCAAAAGTGAAACGGGTCGTTCCAAATGTTGAAAATGTGAGGTTTCTGTAGTCCCAGAACGGTCTTGGAACGGGCCGTTCTAGTATGGAGAACGGGCCGTTCCGGAGGGAGAACAGGCTGTTCTGCTGAGATTGAGAACGGGCCGTTCTGTTTTCAGAATGGACCACGACGGTGGGCAGCGTGAGGCAGAGAAACGAATCGAACGGGCTTACGATGATACCATATAAGAGAAGCGATTCTCAGAAGAAGAATATTATTGATTATTATCACACACTCAATACATGAGAGATGTATCCGTATATATACTTGACTGACTTAACTAACCCAAGTAGTCTAACTAACTAACCTAAAGATATAAGCTGAAATACAATCAGAAAAATATATTTGAAATACACAGAAATAAGATAATAAAATAAAAGTATTTATTATTCTATTCTTTTCTCTAATACAGAGAAATCAAGACCAGGTTGTTGATGAAACCCCTTAGCAACAAGTCTGGCCTTGTATTTATTAATTGAGCCATCAGGATTTTCTTTGACTCGAAAAACCCACCTGCATCCAATGGGTTTCCTGCCCGAGGGTAAGTCAACCAGCTGCCATGTATTATTTGCATGTAAAGCTTGAATCTCAGCTTGCATAGCAGCAAGCCAGTTAGGATCAGTGAGAGCAATTTTCACTGATTTTGGTTCAGCACTAGAAAGTAGGATTGTAGGATTTATTCTAGATTTGACAATTCCATTTTTGGATCGAGTAGTCATGGGATGAACATTGAGCGTTGTAACAGGAGAATGATGTTGAGAG